CAAAACCCCAAAACCCCAAGGCACATTGATTGTGGTTAAATTCAATCATTAAAAGATTCCTACATAATTAAATATAATGGAAAGAAAATCAATTTCTGAGCAATATTTGAAAAACAAAAATAAAGAGGAAGCTGATATCTAAGAAAAATTAATGAATTTATACTAGTTTATTCCACCAAGATTCATAGACTTGTTTCATTTCTAATCAGTAATTGATGTGATAGACAAGTACTTAGAGCCTCATTAGGTGATCCTTTTGAATAGAACTTGCAGCTAAATTAAAACCAAGATTCAAGAGAATGCAAGAATACTGAATATTTTCCAACAAATTTTGATCAATGACGAATATTGTGAATTCCTTCCTAGAAAAAAATTAATAGAATGGTATATTAAACAGTTCAAATGTCTAGAGCAACTACGCCCAAAGTAACTAGCTATTAAATCACTGGACCCTGAATAAAGAGAAAATGATTAAATTTTGTTGGAAGAGCTAATTTCTTCTATGGCATCTCATTGTACCGATCTTAAGTAACTTAAACTAGAAAAAACACCCTTCGAACTTGTTTGACCTATCTTCTCAGTAAATCTATTCAGCATTAATCTTGAAGAATATACTCACATCAATTGTGATATAGGAGAGGGGCTAAGTTATCTTAAATAAATGTAAACACTGAATAAAGTAAATTGTTTGCAGAGAGATGCTTAAAAATTTGAAAGTTTGAGAGCAAATAATGCCTAATTGAATGTGGTAGAATATTTCAGAAATTCTCCTCCAGAAAAATTTTACTTTGTAAACTAGAATATAAGAAGATAAGTTTTGTAATTAGGCATACTTCAAGTTAATGATGAACTTAGCATTGACTAGTATAAGTGGATTCTTAAAGATGTAAATAATTTGAATACTATTAGAATTTACAATGGAAATTAACTTTCAGATTCTTTCTTTTTTTACTTGAATGAGTAGAAACTTTATCTTGGATTGACAGAGGTAGTATTGGGAAATTTTACATTCTACTATGAAACGGCAATATATTTATTCCTTAATTAGATCAGAAATAGACAACCTGACATTAAAGTAGATGTTTATTTCCTAGGATGTGGCCCCTACCATATAGTTTAAAGCATTGCCAGAGCATTGATAAGCAATGATAGTATTAATAGAATAATGTCCGATGATGAAGATGTTTTGAATTCAGCTCGAATTTTGGATGAATAAAGAATTTTAGAGAATTAGTTTTGGGGTCTCGAAATTGAAGAGATATCATCACAGTAAATGCTTTCTGCTTAGGTTAAAGGAAAACTTAGAGTGATTGGAGAAAATCACTTTAAGGATAACTAAGAGATTATTTATCGGAAGATGGAACAAAAAATTTGCTTGATTTATTAAATAAGACTCCTCAGTCATATCTTTGCTGCTGAGATCAAATAGCTAATCTAATTAATCAAATTAACATTTTGAAGTTAGAGTAAAATTTATAAGTTAATAAAAATTAAAATTAACTCCATCATC